GTCTTACCCAGCTCCGCCCAGCCGTGCACAGAGGAATCCTAGTATCTTCTTGGTGGAGCCCAGCTTTTCGCCCGATGAGTCTGAGGACTCTGGTGCCGTGGCTCACAGGAGTTTGAGAAACAGCACTGCTAATTGGTCGTTGAAGGAGGTGGTAATTATTTTAATTTTCGGCCGTCAACTGCAACCTGTCGATCTGTGAACCTAATTGCATAGGCTGTGTGTGGGAAAGTGAAGCACCAGAAGAAGCCTCCTGGCCGGCTCTGGGTTTTTGTGTTTATAAATCTTGGCTCAAGCCAGGTGTGGTGGCTCACGCCTGTCATCCCAGCTACTCAAGGGCTGTGATCTGGAGGATTGTGGTTCAAAGCCCGCCTGGACCGGAAAGTCTGTGAGACTCTTCTCTCCAATGACTGAGCAAAAAAGCTGGAAGTGGAGCTGTGTCTCAAAGGGGTAGAGCACCAGTCTTGAGCAGAAAAAACTAAGGGACAGCACCCATGCCCTGAGTTCAAACTCTAGGACTGGCGTGCACAGTGCATACGCCCCTACGCATGCGCACGCAAGCACACACACACACACATACACACACCTTGGCTGGAGAAACTTGGGGTTTCCTGAAGCAGACAAGCATGGGTATGTAGGATGCTCCACGGGTACCCCACCTACAGAGTGGGCATCATCCGGCCTGTGGATGGATTCCTCCATCTTAGCTGTGGCAGTGAACACAGATTCTGAGCAGTATCTTCCTGTCTTTGTGTAGACCTAGAAAAGCAGTGTTGGAATGGGTCTTGTGCTCCTGTTTGATGGAGTTTTAGGGGCTCCATACAGTTTCCCACAATGCCTGGCTCCATCTGCACCCCAGTAGCAGTGGACGGGGCTCCCCTACTCCCCCCCCCTGCACTGACACTTGATTCCTCCCTCCCTCCCTCCCTCCCTCCCTCCCTTCCTTCCTTCCTTCCTTCCTTCCTTCCTTCGCTGTGCTAGCAGCTGTGGGGTGCTGTTTCAAGGTGGCTTTGATTTGCATTTCCCTGCTCACTGGTGAGGTGCAATCGTTTCATGTACCCCCTGCCCTCTTGATGTTGTTTAAAGTAAAATGTCTATTCAAGTCTGCCCAGATTTTAGGCTTTCTTGTTCGTGTGCCAATCCTCGGGCTTGAACTTAACAGCTTCACTCTCCATTAGCTTTTTCACTCAAAAGACTGGGTACGCTTACCACTTGAACCCACAGCTCCACTCCTGGCTTTTTTGGGGGGTTGTTCATTGGAGGTAAGAGTCTCACCGTCTTTCCTGCCCAAGCTGGCTTTGAACCACGATCCTCAGATCTCAGCCTCCTGAGTAGCTAGGATGACAGGCGTGAGCCACCAGTTTCCTAAGCAATTTTCATATGTTGGTTCTCTTTCCTGTAACTTGGGTGGGCTCATTTGTTAGATCCAATCTGTTTTCTTTTCTTGTCAGTCGTGGGGCTTGAACTCTGGGCCTGGGCGCTGTCCCTTAGCTCTCAGAGCTCAAGGAGAGCACTCTACCAATTGAGCTACAGCGCCACTTCCGGTTTTCTGGTGGGAGTCTCACAGACTTTGTGCCCTGGGCTGGCTCTGAACCATGATCCTCAGATCTCAGCCTCCTGAGTAGCTGGGATTATAGGTGTTGAGCCACCGGCACCTGACATCTTTTTTTTTTTCTTCTTCTTCTTTGTTGGTTATAGGGTTTGAACTTGTGGCCTGAGCTTGAACAAGTCTTTTGCTAAAGGCTAGCACTCTACCACTTTGAGCCACAGCACCACTTCTAGGTTTTGGCGCCTCATTGGAGATAAGAGTCTCATGGACTTCTTGCCTGGGCTGGCCGAATAGCCACCATAGCACAGGCTGGGTGTTGGTTGTTGTTGTTTGGTTTTTGTTGTTGTTGATGGCACCTTTGGGAGTTCCACATACAGATTCATATCATCGGCTAATAAGGGTTTCTTCCTTTCAGATGTGGATCCCTTTCATTTATCTTTTCCTGCCTGATTGCTTGTGCTTGTGTTTTTAGTTCTCAGTTGGGCTGGCCTGAATGAGACAGAGCATGCGTGGCTTTTCCTGGATCTCAGTGGGCAAGCTTGAAGTTTCGCCTCCCAGGTTTTATCAGCTGTGACTTTTTCTTCAGTGACTTACATATTCTGTTTTTTTTTTTTTT